ATGGTGTTTGAGTGAAAATGAGTTGGGTATTTTAAGGAGGACAGAGAGAGCGATGGTGAGAGTGATGTGTGGGGTGAAGTTGATGGACAGAAAGAAAACTGAGGACTTGATGCAGATGTTGGGTTTGAAGGAAGCGGTAGATCGGTTGGCGAAGGCAAATGGGGTACGTTGGTATGGGCATGTGCTGAGGAGGGAGGATGGGCATGTATTAAGAAGGGCCCTTGATTTAGAGGTGAGCGGTCCAAGGAAAAGGGGAAGGCCAAAGAAGACGTGGAAGATGCAAGTGGGAAGGTTGGGATGAGGATGAGGGATGCTTTAAATCGTGCAAAGTGGAGGGAGGGGGTAAGAGCGATTGCCACTAGTTTAAGGTGAATCTGGCCACCCTCGTCTTCGGGGACCAAACCGGATTTAAAACTCTGGACTACTACTACTATCTTTAATAAATAATATACATTTGTTAATTAGACAGTGACCTGGAGTCAACAAACCCATATCATATTACCGATTGTCAGTTTTGTTTTTTGATTTCTTCTTGAAAACCGCAAGTCAGATTGCTTTGGTATTATACATGTTGGTACTACATGTGGACCTTTGTTCATTTCTTAATGATATCTTAAATTCTCTAGTTTTGATGAATATTTTTGTCATTTTGGGGTAATAACTTCAACGCTTTCTTAACTTGATTGTATCAGAAAAATTCACATTGTACTTTCTAATGTTTGATTGCTTTTTGCTTTTGTCAGGTGATGAAGAATCTGCATGTTGTTTTCACAATGAATCCATCATCAGCAGGACTTAAAGATAGAGCTGCAACATCACCAGCTTTGTTTAACAGGTATACGTGTCAATGCATTTACGATACTTTAGCCTACATATGGCTTCTTTGTTCATTTCAGTACTAATGACTTGTTGAATATATAACATTATTGTATATCATCGTAACCTCAAGGAATGTCCACCACTTAGCATGATCCACCCAAGATTGCTTACTGGTGGCCACTTTTAGTGCATGGACAGATTTTGTTCAAATGTGGTGTTTTGCATTTCAGATTCAAAATGGCCGACTAGCAGCCATTCAGTTTTAATGATACTGTTTGAGAGCTATATTAAGACATATACTGTAAATGTCTTCAACATATAAAAAAATCGTGATATATTTAGTGTCTTGTGTACCAGTAATTATACCATGTATTGAAATGCCTTCTTGCATGTCTTTAGGTGTGTGTTGAATTGGTTTGGTGATTGGTCAAATGGAGCACTCTACCAAGTTGGTCAAGAATTCACAAATAAACTGGATTTAGAAAAGTCGAATGTAAGTCACCACTAGATGATCGTTTTCTTTTTTCTAAGACCCATTATTCTGGTCTAGTTCAATTTCTGTGGACGTGAAGCCCATACAAACTGCAGAATAAATTTATCCACGGTGTACCATGCTATTATTAGTCCTCGTTTGAATGCAGTTCAAAAACAGGGACTTATGTTTTGACCCTTGTGTGTGCGTCCGGACTTGGATCTTAGAAATGCTTCAACGAATCAAAATCAAACTTCACACATACATCATACATGAAATTATACATATGCACATCAATTTCATTCACGATCTGATTTGGCCATTTTTGTGCTAAAAAATCATCAAAATCAAGCATTTCTCGGTTGTTTACAAATAGATTTTGTTCAAACTTGGTATATACATTAGACATTATGGGACCTTGATGCAAACAATTTTATTTTTCAGATCGGATTGAAAATGGCTGACTGGTGGCCATTTTGTTTTAATGAATGGGCTTCTAGACCCGTATCTCTGACTTGATTTGACTGATTATGTTCACATAATATTCATTATACATAATGTCATAGATATACAGATATATTGGTTTGACGATCCTATTCAAAATGGCCGAATGGTGGCCATCTTTGTGCTAAAAAAACATCAAATATCCAGCATTTCTGGCATTTATGGATGGATTTCGTTCAAACTTAGTACATACATTAGACATTACAGGTTCCTGATGCACATCATTTTATTTTTCAGATCAGATTCAAAATGGCAATATCTCCCAATTTGGACAAGTACTTGTTTGACGATCAGATACAAATGTCAATCATTTTAATGATAAAAAATCATCTTAATCATATTCCTGACATGGTTATATTCCAGTATATTACTATAAACAAAACAATATATCTTAAATTTGATAACTAACTGGGACTGTGCCATGCATGGCTTGTTCCATTTATATCACTCATTGATGAGCAAAGTCTAATATGCATGTATCTATCATATACTTATTATTAACCAAATTATCAACTGTATTGTTCATGTGTAAATTACAAGCACTTTTGTAATAGGTTTACTATGTTTATTGATTTTTAGTACCACTGTCCAGACTACCTTCCGGTTGCCTATGATGGTTTGTCGACTCCAATCACTCACAGGGAAGCAGTTGTTAATGCATTTGTGTATGTGCATCAAACTCTCCATCAAGCTAATAATCGGATTGCAAAACGTGGTGGCAGAGTCACAGCAATAACACCAAGACATTACCTGGACTTTATTAATCATTATGTAAGTTAACAGATGCGTGATTGATGGAACTTTTATCACAAGACAGTTAAGATGTATAAATATGAGTAAAATGTTGAACCAACAGATTGCCCTGAAAATACATTAGAAAATCTTGTTTAAAAAAAGTCTTGTGCATGATTGACTCCCGTGTGCAAAGCACACAAAGGGAGTCTTTGTAGATAGTGTGTGTGTGTGTGTGTGTGTGTGTGTGTGTGTGTGTGTGTGTGTGTGTGTGTGTGTGTGTGTGTGTGTGTGTGTGTGTGTGTGTTGTTTTTTGATGAAACTTGGTGCATAGATGCTCTTGGCCAATTCGCAGATTTGATTAGGTTTTGGTAGAAATCCATACATTTTAATTTCCTAATTTTCATGATAATTAGCTCATTTTTAGCTGTTCCATGACTGTTCCACTGATATCTAAAGAACCACTCATTTGATTTTGATGAAAATTGGTTCATAGATGCTCTGAACTAATGCCAGGTTTTGATTAATTTTGGGTGAAAATTTGTACATATTAATTACCTAATTTGCATAATAAATTAATTTTCAGCTTTTAATATTTTAAGTAGTAAGCATTACATTTCAATGAAACATGGTACATAGATACTCAAGGACTATGCAGAGATTGTTTTGGGATAAATATATTAGTAATAAAAATATTTTTATATTACTAATTTGCATAATTAGTTAATTTTCGGATTTCAAGTATATCTCTACTACTAATCATCACATTTCATTGATACTTTGTACATAGGTCCTCTGTACAAATATGATCAGTTATGGGTTACAATCTGTTCATATTAATTCCCATAATAATTCATAGTTTGTTGGTTCTGATTGGTACTTGGTACATAGATGGTCTGTTACATTGCGCAGACCTTATTAGTTTTACACTCAAATCTGTTCATTTTAATTTTCTGATTTGCATAATTAGTTTTCAGTTTTTCCATCAATATCTCAAGTACAAGTAATTTTGATTTATTTTTTACTCTGTCTCTAATACTCTCAGCATACGAGAGTTCTTTCTAAGCTTTCTTTGATTTTGTTCTTGCCTTCAGGTGAAATTGTACAATGAAAAACGAAGCGACTTGGAAGAGCAGCAACTTCATTTAAATGTTGGGCTGCAGAAAATCAAAGAAACAGTAGACCAAGTTGAAGAATTACAGAAGAGTTTATCACTGAAAAGTAAAGAATTAGAAGCCAAGAATGCTATGGCTAATGCTAAACTTAAACAAATGGTGAGATGTAACTATGTTCTGCATTTAACCATGCATAATTTCACATGCTGAATGATGCCAGGCCATTCCAAGGGCTGTCAAGTTTTTTCCGATTGTCATGATCTTCAAATGTTGACTGCCATACATGTACCTCAGTATTTTGTTGACTTTCTCATCAACTGTTATTTTCCATACCAATGTGACAATGTAGGTAAAAGACCAACAAGAAGCTGAAAAGAAGAAGGTGACATCACAAGAAATCCAAGCAGCTTTGATAATTGCAAACAAAGCTATTGCAGAAAGAACTGACAGTGTAATGGATGACTTAGCTAAAGTGGAACCTGCTGTTATTGAAGCACAACAAGGTAACCATAGCAACATGTCTAATGGTGCACATTGTTGTTTGCTCTATTTTCCAGTGTAAGGTTATTTTTATGATTAAGGTAGTAACGTGAGAAAAACAATTAAAAATTGATCTGTGATTCAGTCTAAAAGTAACTAAACATGCAACAACCTCTAAAGCTTAAAAGTGTAGACAAACAATTACAGACATGCCACCAACAATCGGACCAACACTCGTGTTATACTGACCAACATTAACACTTGTGATGGCTACTTATCTTCATTTGGTAAAGTCTGAGGTAAAGAATTGATAAATTGATTTTAGAGCATACATGCACACACAACCATTTCTCAGAAGTCTATTTGTTTTAGTCGTTTTTCATGGCACACATTAGCTGTTACCTGATTTAGATATGGCCAACTGGTGACCATTTTTAGTATAATAATGCAGGTATTTGGACACACCTGCAACAATTTTTGTGTGACTTGGCTGATTGTATTTGAACGGAGCAGAGAGGGATTTTTTGTTTAGATATTAACTTAAACACTTGACCTGCGTAAACTTTGCAGTTAAATTCTGATTTACAGCTGTCAAGTCTATTAAGAAGAATCATCTTGTTGAAGTAAGAAGTATGGGAAAATCCA